TGTTTGTTATTCTTTCTATTTATTCATTTATTTATTGTCGTGTCTGAGCTGTATAATCGCTGTACATTCACCGAAAAATTAATCGTAAACAGTAGGAGTCTGCTATCGGCTTTTCACGAGATACACTCCTCCTTCTCCTACTACTACTACCAATAATAATAATAATAATAACAATAATAAAAGACATTTAACATTTTATTATATGGCATATACTCCACAACATGACTGACAGGAACATTTTATGGGTATAATAACATATGGCTTACAAACACAAAAATTGGTTGTTACAACATGAGAGACCTTGGAAAATGTGCATATTCTGAAAGTATTTGAATGCATTGCGAATATTTTTAGCTTATCTGTGGTTGCTTTAAAAACTATTCCATAAAAATGTGAGCACTGCTGAGTCTAGTATTTTAATAGACAAAACACTGAGAACTTGGCAACAGTAAACATTCATGACATTGCATTTGAAAATACAGTGGGTCATTGGTAATATCATCTGTTTGATGCAATGAACTTACTGGAAATCACCTAATATCTTCATGAGAAAGTAGGTTTACAGGAATCATTTCCTACTTTGAGAGCATACATACACTCTGAAGTTTCTGCCAACAAGTGATCAGTGCCTTGATAACTTTGATTAACCTGGTCCTCTTTCTCTTCTTCCCTCGTATTTTCTGGACAGTTGAACAAGAGGTTCTCTTCCCCTGAAAAGAAAAGCATTGTTGTGCAGTTATACAACCACCCGCTTATCTGCTTTAATAGTTTTTCATCACAGTAGCATTATTAAGGACATCCATGTATCCTTGTATGGATTATCTGCAACCATTTTCCCAAGCCCAGCCTTTGCTGCGCTGTTTTGTTTTGCTCTTTGTTTTGTTTGTTTATTGTGGAGAAATAAGGAATCAATGTATTCAGTCGACAAAAATGGATGAATGTCATTCTTTGAAGTCCTTCTCCTCACCAGATAATCAGGACTGCAGTTGTGAATGATGAGCTGCTCCATGCTCTCCAGTGGCATTTCCAGTGCAGACTGCTTGCCACTCCTCTGACACCGAATCTGCTGTGTCATACCATAGATTGAAACCAGGATGCGACGCGCCTACCGTGGAACAATAGCCCATAAAATGAAGAAAAGAAAACAGCATTTGAAATAGCCCAAACAGCTCATCTGTTGTTGGTACTATTAAATAACTGGAAATTAAACCTCATATTGCCCTTGGGAAAATTCTTCCTTTCCATGTCCAAATCCGTAATGTGAGGCAGCCGCACAGGCAGATTATGTGAAAAGTTCTTGTTAAACCCACAGCATCACAGTATCAGGACTATGTTTTATTACCCTGTCCATCATGCTCAAAGTGTATATGGTGAAGCGCTATTTACCTTTCCTTGGGGACAGGGGTCTCTGTCTTTGGAGGTATTAAATGAATCTGTCAAATTCTGCAAAAGAACAACCAAATGTGAATTAACAGAAATTAAAACTGATTGCCATTCAAAAGAGAAAAAAGATGAGACTCCACCAGCAAAGCTGGTACATTGAACACAGTGACAAACCCTGGAGGGCAGCCTACCATCAGATAAGAAAAACATTGCTCCTACATGTTTAATTCCACCTGCAACTGCTTGGATAAACTGACATATATTCACATATATCACATATTAATGGAAGGCAAAATAAAGACAGCAAAATTCAAAAAAAAAAAAATGTCTCCATCAAAGTCACCAGTTACCAGATTCTGCAGCTCAACAAAGATGACTTCTCTGTAGGAGCCCAGTATTTCTTTATAGTTACATCTACGTTTACCACAAGTGATGGCCAACAAGAGAACCACCAGGACACTACGGAGTAGAGTTCCAGTCAGACACTGCAAGAAAGACAAGTGCATCTCATTACAAGTTTTATATGAAGAAAATGTCCACACTAAATAACAGATTAGAAAAATACCATGAATCATTGTTCATTTGGCTCCTGCTTTAAGTTTTTATTGGACTTTATTATTTGTAACAAACAGAATACAATCTATAAATGTGTGCCATGATCCATAACTATTTCACTATCCACACACATGTATGAGTGATTGACTTGTGGCTCCATTTGTACATGTGAAATGGATATTGGACATTTGTGGATCACTTCCTGTCAGTTTGTGTGAAATGTGACATGTATTACTTCCCATTACTTCCTATTTATTTGCTTAACTATTTCAACTTCACAACACAGCTGATCTGTTGAAATAAACGTACAACCGCACTGTGATTTCCCTCCCAACATCCCCCCACTGGTTTTTCGCAAATCACACCCTGAAGTGGAGCATCTTCATTTAACCCAATGGTCATGATTTAGGATCAGGCTCATCATTGTCATCTCCAGGTGAGTGTGTTGTGCTGTGCTGTGCTTGCTTACTTACTGCCGTTAGTTAGCTAACTTTGCGTTGAGTAGCCAACATCCACATTAGTACAAAAGGAGACAACAACGTAGAGGGACATCAGCCCGGCTTCACCCAGGAGGTGAAAGATAAAGTCGAGCTGGGTGGTCCTCCATCCCTTGCCCCATCCCCACTGATGCCCCACCCCCACTGACTGTCCAGTCCAGTCCAACCCCCTGACTGGACAGTGCTTGTAGTCTTCCACAATGACATTATTTGCACCTCATGTGCATTAAACTCTGATCAAGTGAGCCACTTCTTTTGAAACTATGGCCTCTACTACTACTATTAGGACTAATGCGGATATTAATCCTACCACTAGTACTACTATGAAAGTATAATTATCCCCCATCTCATGAATACTTCAGTATAGTTTATTTTCCTCCTTTTCTGTGTAAAAGGAGGGTAACAGCAGTGTATAAGGGTAATAATAGCATAATACAGTAGCTTAATACGAGTAGAAAGCATTTCATAGAAGTGTAAAAATGGTGGTGGTTTCTAGGGCATTGCTAGGTGTTTGTGGTAGTAGTGTTGGTAGTATTAATATCTGCAGTAGTACTAATAATAGATACTAGTGGATTGGCCACAAGTCACCTAGAGGGCATGGATGAGCTGAACGGCTAAAATTATTATTTACACCTGCTTCTAAAAAAAAATCCCAAATTTTATTTTAGTTTTGCAAATATAATATTGATAATATATCAGAATTTAAAAGAAAAAATACTAATGTCCTTTAGTTTTTCTTACAAAAGCAAAACAAAACTATGTGCTGTATCAGATGCCATATGCTCTAGCTGGTTCCTCTGGTGCACGGTGGCTGTCAATGGCTGCTGCTTCATTGATGTGTGGAACCACAATGGCAAATGACAGAAAGAGGCTGTGGTGTGTGACATCTAGTTATTTCACTACAGATGAAAAGAAAAGAATCTAATCTTGGAACTATATCTGTTGTCTCTACCCCCTTATATCGAAAACATAATGAAAAGTGGAAGTAAAAAAATGTTTTACCCCATAAACAGTAAACTTCAGGGCTAAAGCTCCATAGGCCCCCTTCATTTTGGGCTATCTGGCAACCGGAAGTTCTGAGAGTGACAGTATTAGAAATTCTCTGGGGGAAGGCTCAAATGTCACGTGGCCCACACACTGACAGGAAACGACTCAAAAATGTATAAAATCCGTTTCACATGAATGTGCAAGTACCATTTTACATGTATTTTTGTGATTAAACTGTTTGCATTTGTTAAACTTTAACATTTGTATCTGAAATTTGAATACTTGAGTGAGTTAATTGGAAATGGCTTTGTATTTTTGAGGATATAACAAATCACAAACAAAAAACAAAAAAGCAAACATTTCTTGGATAGTGAGATTTGTGGATCATGGTACATATTCGTGGATTGTCTTCTGTGGACACCTCACATTTGTTTATTTTTTTCTACAGAAATGTGGCATTGGACCAAAGTCGTCAACAAATTTGTCCATGAATGTGGAAAACCATCTTTACATGTTCAAATGGATCCACAAATTCGTTAAAGTTTACAGTCACGTGTAGTTGCAAATCGCTCCGTATTATTAACACAAGTAAAAAAAAAATTAGTGGATAATGAAATATTTGTGGATTATCCTCTGTAAGTAAATACAATAAAAAAACGTCCATAAAGTGCGCCCCAGCACCAGTCGCTTTCCAGCCGTTTGGAGCTCATGTCATCGTGACCAATGTCAATACGATGCTGTTAACAGTATTAGTGCACGCAGACTTCATAATACAGCAGTAAAAATTTCTATAACGTCCTCTATCAGCTCATCTGCTGCGTAAATAGGCACCTGATGTTAAAACCACACTTACCATTTATCATGTTCTGCTGCAGGCTCCTCAGACAAGCAAACCCATCTCTACCAGTACCTGGAAGATCCAATGAATTACCCCTGGTCCGGCGGCGTTCATTGTATCCAAACCACCTCCACCCCCCCACCCCCCAAGTATTTTACACTTCTTCTGGTGAATATTCAATGACGGTGGCGGACAGACTTCCGATCAAGTGCTTCGTAATTTCCAACATCAACAAAGTCACTGCTGCTCCGATTTCCTTCCCTGTCATGGATTGCTGACGCTGGGCTTAGGATTTCACCAAACTCCAGTGCGATCAAGTCGAGGAGAACTTCTGCAATCAATCATTTGCCTTCATCGTGTCGGTCTTGTTGGAAAGACGTGATACCGAGGAAGAGCGGTGTGAAGAGCCACTGTAATTTGGTGGCTCTAGGCTATCGAGTGAGCTACACAAAACCAGTGGAAGTATGAAACGATGCTTGATGGTTGTAATGCTCACAACAAGCAGTGACTCTAACCACTTTAAGCCAAGCCAAACCTGAGGTGACAATGACATCCCATACAGGACCACCAAAGTGCTGACCGTGCGTGGGAACTGCATGGGAGTATTAGTGTGGGTAAAACTCCTGGACTGAAAGGTCAGGAAAACTGTGCACTCAGAAATAAATATGACATTCAAATCACAACAAACCACTTTACCATTTAACATGTTTAGGAAAAACAGGGAATGGTGCAATAAACTTTATTTGTTTATTGGATTCTTACAAAGTGTTTTTAAACACATTCAAGCCATCTGTGTAAAAAAAAGCAGATTGTTATCACCAACATGAGAAATCATGTAATAATTCCTGACAAGGAGTTTATATACACTGTCCCATCTTGTTGAACAGACAGAGCCAAATCTGCACCTTTTACATATCCGCATTCTGTCCAGACAGAGACGTATATTTCTCTCTTACAGTGTCTGCTGAAAGTATTCATTTCCATTTCTGCTTTCTCTTTTTCATGTTTATTTTTACACAATTTTCACACAACCACAGTGACTGTAATTTGAATTTTGACAACAGCAGAAAAAGAGACAAATGTCAAAGTGAAAAGAGATGAACAAATGAATCCACATTTTGTAAAAACATTGAACAGAATAAAGGACTGCCTGTAACCTTTAACCCACTTTACCATGACACACTTAAATCATTACAAGTGCATCAAATTATTATCAGATTAATATAATGGCATGGCGATCACATGTGTGAACTCCAAAAACCTGATGACAGGGACAGTATGTGCTGGTGGGGCGTGGTTTTTACTGCATTTGAATCCAACACAACTGGCACATGCTGCTTATGCCTACCACAATCGACAGGTTGTTCAGCAAGTAAACATGTAGAAACCTCGACTAACTGCCTGAAGGCAAGTGGGAGACTGGAACAAAAGAGGGACACTTTTATACTAACCCATGTTCTGTTTGGGTAAACAAAACAATTCCCATTGCCATAAAACACAGTCTCCACCATGATGCATGGTGATAACATTATCATACTGTAGGCAGGTCCTGCTTCTAAAGGTTGAGGGTACAATGACTGTAGCGAAATGCAAAGAAATCCCAAAGGGTGACCTGCAGCAGTCTGCAGGAAGACTCGGGAGAAGGTTTACTTGCCAACAAGACAAAGACCTCAAAAATAAAGACAAAGCTACACAAGCTAAAAAACACTAACATGAATGCCCTGAAGTGGCTGAGTCCAAACCTCAGTCCTTCTGGAGGACATGGAAAATGTTGTTCAATGACCGGAAACTACAAAACCCAATGTTTTAATTGCTGCTGCTACATGTAAGGAATGATTTTGAATTTTATATTGCTACTTTCACTTTCCCTTTGACATTAAATCACATTTTTTGTTGCCAAGTACAATTCTAATTTAAGTTTGTAAAACAATAAAAAGTTATGTGTGAATACTTTGTATGTTCCAGAGAATGCCAAGTCCAGATAGAAAAACACAGTTGAGTGCGTCCATAGCTGTTCCCTGTGAGACTTGTGACTGCCAGTCATCCAGGTGTTTTCAGTCCCAGTCCAAAATTTCCCCAGTTTCAGAATGTGTTCTTGATCTTGCTGGCTACCAGCGCTAAGATCTCTCCTGTCTTCTTCTGCCAGTTCAGGACGTGTTTGGACTCGGCACACCACAGCTCGCCATGGCGGGGCTCCGCATTTTCACAGCGCTTTCGCACCTCTTCCTGCTGTTCCTGATGGATGCAGAACAGCAAAGTGAGACACAGACAGGCACACAGACACAGACACAGTTCTTGGTTGTGTTTATCATCTATCTTTATGAATGAGTAACAGCATCATGTATGGTGCAAAATAGGTTTGAGTGACAGCATCATGTATTCCTCGATGTACTCCACCAAAACTTTTCAATAATTTTGTCTCTTGTCCATCACATATTTTGCATCTTAACCACACACCATTTTTCAGTGGTAAATGATACAGTGAGAACAATGTATTAATAGCACATACCTCTTAGATAAACCAAAGTTGCATTAATTGAACTTACATGTGAGGGTCAAATGTGTCAATTAAATCATACACTTAGTCATGACAACGTTGCCTGATATTTAGCTGCAAAATCCAGCACGGACACACACAAGTCTCGTACCCAGATAAGGACAGACAATACTAAGATTGATACCTCTGTGCCATGTTGCAGCTCAAACTTGTAGAAGAGAGCCCAAGCATCTCCTAGGTCTGGCTCGATCTTTACTGTCCTGAGGAACCACTCTCTGGCTTTGGTGATCTTACGTTCACTCCAAAACAACCTGAAATGTGCGCACAAGATTATTTGAAAGTTTGAAAAAAAAAACAAAAGAAAAAAAAAAATCACTCCAAAAGGTTAAATGCTAAATACAATGGAAAAACCTGCACAAACAGCAGAGCTTATTATTGAGAAGTTGAGTGGGATACAGTGAAAAGACATGGTCATACTTGGCAACAGCGAGCAGGACGTGTGGATCATGTTCACACTTCTTCAAAGCGTCCACACTCTTAGTCTTCCTCTGGGGCCTGGCCTCCAGAAACACAGCCTCAGCCCACAGGATACCTTTGTAGGAAGGGACAGGGAGTGGGGTGAAATGGAGAATTTGAGATTACAGACAATGATAGAAAGCACAGAAAGTAACTGAAAAATGATTTTTTTGTGTATAAAAAGGTCTATAACCTGAACACAGGAGTTTTTAAAATTGATTTTAGGACACAATAAAATCCCCAAACGTCCTACCTGCCGGAAAAAAAAAAAAAAAAAAAATAGAAAAGAGTTTTGCCAACAGCAACAATATATTCTCACCTGAATTGGGGCACTCCTGCAGGGCTTTGGCCATCAGTGTGTTGGCGATGTTCTTCAGACCAGCCCTGAACTCCAGCCTAACCGACTCCAACCTGGTTAATATGATCACATACACATAATATTAGACGCGCAGTTGTACATGTCTGTCAGTTTCTTAGTGGTAGGTGGAGTCAAATTTGTTTTTAAGTTGATATCAATCCCAGTATGGGTTTCCTCTGCTGCATTTAAAGACATTTTCTATTAAATGCGATAAGCACATTTAGCACGTTGTCTAATGTACATTATCTAACAAAAAACATTTTCATTCTCCTTTTCTACAGAAAAGAATAAAACAATCTGTGAGTGGGCGTGTGCGCAAGTGTGCCAGTTTCTCCTTCATGAAAACCTTTCCTTCATGCAGCAAAGTGAAAGGTTTCCAAAGGGAGAAAAAGGCATGATAAGGAAGGAGAAGAGGGAAGGCACTTGAATGCCAAAGTTAATATCTTTAATTGCTCGGAGCACAATCAGAACTTTTGGATTATGCTTAATACACTATCCACACAGTTGACACATTGGAAACTAAAGTGCTCCCTCAAGCCACATCCTGCTTTTGTATTCAAGTGGCTTACCACACTTTGTAGTGTGTTTTCTCACCATAGCTCAGGGCTCTGGGGGTTCTTGAGTCGTGCCTTCTCCAGGATCGCTCTGGCTCTGGTCAGCTGTCCCACTCTCTCTTCAAGATGAGAGAGCAACAACCACAGTGCCACCGAGTGTGGACACTTTTTCAACTACAGCAACAAGCAAGACATAAACCACTTTTTAGAGTTATTACTGAAACACATATTTTCATCAAAAACATGTATGAATAAAACGCCCATTAAAAGCTCTTTGCTGTTATTATACCTACACAAATCCCCTCCCCCTAACACTTCCCCCACCTCACCCCTTGGTTGTAGGCCTCTCTGGCCTTGTCCATGTTTTCACACTGCTCCTCTATCTGGCCTCTCATCATCCAAAGTTTTGGGAAGTCCTCGTAGTGTTTCAGGGCCTCGGTGCACAACTCCTGGGCAGCTTCTATATTTCCCAACACCCACTCCAACTTCACTGACTTCATAAATACCTGTGGAGATTACAAACAAACACATGAACTGTTCAGCCACGGAACATGTATAAACAGGGCCCATGATCTTGTCTTTTTAAATTCCCCTGGGCTTGTTATATACTTGAAATACAATAGTATTGTTGAAAAATTATCTAAATACTTGTATTCCAGCCCAATTTATGCAATACAAATACCTTAAAGGCTGTCAGATGTATCAAATACCAACTTCCTAAGGCATAGCCTAAATGCTTAACTGCTTCATTAACATCATGCACTTGTCTTATCTGACAGGGCAATCAGTACAGCCCACATTAAAGCAGGCCTTTTTAGTCATAGCTGACAGTAAATACAATACAGATAACTAAAGGGAGCACAGTCAGATAGACCTGATAGACACTAATAGTTAAAAAGCACCATTGACAGCATTTGTCAGCCTGAGTGCTGCAGACTGTTTTGAGATGTAGAAACCTGGCAAGCCTAAACCTGAGAAAAAGCATGTTTGTAGAAACTTCCTCAAGTACAATGCACTATTAATTTACTGTTAAACACAGGCTTTAAAGCAGAAAAGAATAAAACCTGAAAAAGGGGCCATTTGAAAACCATGTGTCAGAGCTCTATTTATTCCAGGATTACTTAATGGAAAACAAACTAACTGTTCTGGTACATAGGGTCATGGAAGGACAGTTGGAGAGTAAAAGGACAGGACAGGACAGTTTAAAAATACTACACTTCCCCTGTGCAACTTAACAGCCAAAGAAGTTAACATCAAAACCTGAATGGGGAGACCAGTTTTTAACTTATTCCAGCAGATAAGTAGGTTTGTGCAGAGCAACTCTAATGAGAATTTTAAATAGGGAAATCTTTCTTTTGCTTTCCCAGTCTCTCTCTCACACTCACACAAACAAACACACACTCACCCTAGCTGTGGGGGCACTGCTGCGGGCCTTGGCCAGCAGTCGGCGGGCTCTTTCATACTCATTGTTCTCTGATTCCAGTTTGACAGCAGCAAGCCAGATCTCTTCACTGTTAGGGTTAGCCTTGAAAAATAAAAGAAATGTTTGGGTAAGAGGGAGAGAAACAGAGGAAAGGGTGAAACAGAGTTATACACAGGCTCGCATGGACACTACACGAACAAGTCAAAGTTTGCATGAATGTATCAACACCTGGAAGGCCAGAGCGAGGATACTTCTGGCTGCAGGCACATCCTCAGCCAGCCACTTGGACTTGGCCCCCATCAGCCAAAGGACCTCTGCCTTGGGACAATGAGCGACGGCCCTCTGGAGCAGGGCCTCCAAAGACTCCCTGAGAGAGAGGCAATGAGCCATGAAAGAGTAAGGGATGGGAGGAGCACAGTGATGAAGCAGATGGGAGGCAAAGGAGAGAAAAACAGAATGTTAAATACAGCAATTAATTAAAAAATTTAGAGACAAAAAATAATATTTAGAATAGGGGTGGGTGATCTTCTCAAAATAATTGTATACACAATCATGATCCACAATATGAATTGCCATCTTTCTTCCCAATTTTCCCCAAATTTTACAGATGAGAATATCCAGACTCAAACCAGCCTATGGACTTTACCATTTAAAACACAATATTGCATTTAAGATGCTGTTTTCAAAATGGTCATGTGCATCAGTGTCTTAAACCCCATGTTGTCCATAGCTTTAAATGGCACCATATCCTTAGCTACATAGGATGTGACCACATGCGTCACATCTTTCCATCTGCTTTTTGCTGCTTTTATCATATTTTTCTATGCGTCGGTCAACTGTGGTAATGTTTCTGGACCTCATGAGATACAGATGAGTGGGTTTGTACTGACCTGAGTGAAACACTTAGCGTGTTCATTCGGCTGCTTCCCATTAAGGTGGTTAAATGGATTTGTTGTATTAACATCAGAAGTGCCAATCACGCAGACCATATAGTTTAGAAATAACTTTGCTTTGAGAAATATCTGACCGTGCATAGCTGTTGAATTGTTTTTGCAAATATGTCACGCATGAAAGATAACCTATGATAGAGACACATGATATAATTTGGCCGATCAGCACAGCCATCTAGCAGGCAATCATTCTGTTGGTTTGTGAACCTTGTGTGGATCCACATTAATAGGGCATGAGCACAGTTGGTACAATGGTGAAATGTCATGATCTCTAAGATTTACTTGAAAGTAGATTGTGGACGTCTTCAAGATCAATCACGATATAAAACTGTCAGATCGCCCACCTCTAATTTAGTAAACCAAATCTGGTCACCTGGTGCCATGGTTCTTCTCAAAGTAGGCAGCTCTGAGCCAGACACTTTTTTTACTGGGGAACACCTGCAGGGCATGGGCATAAATGGCCCTGGCACACTCCAGCGCTCCATGCGCCACACACTGAAACATAAGAGACAAGCATCTCAGTTAAGTTAAACTCTGACAGCAAATGAGGATGTGAAGGACTTCTGAATATGTTGGTACTCACACTCTCTGCATCCTCCATCCAGGTGTGTTTACGATCCTCCTCCTCAATGCCAATCCCTATGACGGCCCTTATCACGGCCTGGCAGGTAGCGACACTGCCTGCTTTGTCACACTCCTCTGCATCCTGCAAGACAAGAAACCTTTAGGAGTAAAGAGATTGTGGGCAGGTCACAGACATAGAATGCAAAAGGTTAAGCAACAAACTACTGACCACAATAGTAGATCAGCATTTTCATAGGAATGATGGAGCCATTTACATGGAAATATTTACACACCTGATATGTCAGATCCATGTAGATGACTTACAGTTTATAAGAAGTCATCTTTACAGATGATTTTTGTGGGAAGAGCAAAGGACTATCCCAGAGTCTCTATACATAATTATTCTTGTAAGAACTGCCAAATCCTGTCATTTTAAAGTTCATCTGTTGCTTGTGTTATGATGTGTGTATTGGGAAATGGCCTTGATAAACCTACCACATAAACCACATTTTGCCAGAGGTAGAAAAGACTAGGTAGTCATGGAAATGAAGAGAAACAATGTGAGGCCTAGGATTGCAAAACAACTTAAGTGCACTAAACAAAATGTCAGTCACAGTTCTGGCATGTATTCTTCTGCTCCCAGATAAAATAGCAAGCAGCTTTTCCAAAGTATGCTGGCATGCTATCAGAGCTAACAAAAACATGACTCAGTCTCTGCTTTCTCAACATCAAGATTTAAAGATACATCATTCATTTATTCATCTTTTAATTTACAGGTTTATTTTATATTATCAAATATATAATCATAGAATTAGAGACTTAAGTGACAAATCCCAATGGTGTGTTCGTCAGCTGATCATAATTAAAACAGTAGGCTGGATTTACTCCAGACATTACTGATGTATTAGTTAACAGCATAAAAATGTTAAGTTAGTTTGTGTTTCTGTGCTTCTCTTAATTTGACCAAGAAATATCTTTTTGAAAAACTCATTGTAAATACTTCATTGTCAATGAGTCATAAAGTAACTAAGTTACCAATTTATTAGTCACATGTGTGCAATCTACTCCAGACCAACACAATAGTTATGCAACACATCCCTTCTTTGTGAAGCTTTCTAAGGTTTCATTTTTGCTGAAGTGTCACAGAGATGTTTACTCAGCATTACAAAAATTCCTCAAGCTGTCTTTTGTTGCAGTTTTAACTGGACAGCCTTAAATTGAAAGATGTTTCCGATATCCTGCCCATTTCCATTAACATGTGGTGTATAAGTGATGCAGTTTTAAAAAACATTTCAATACAATCTGTCCTCTTTTAACTTGAAGAGTTTCTATTTTGAAAGTACATACATTTTCTTTTATGGCCTTAGGGAATGCATTTATTTGTTCAGTGCATTGTTCAACAAACATCTTTCCTGCAGGAAACCTCTCTCCCTCTCCCTTCCTCTCCTTCCTATGAATTCAAAGAAATCACAAAGCTGCAGGCACACACCTGTATCCATTGCTCTCTGTTGATCTCCACGCCGTTGGCGTGTAGAGAAGTGATGGCTCTGTCAATGATCTTGTCCACCATCTGAGTGTTGCCATTGGCCTCCTCCAACTTGGCAGCAGTGATCCAGATATGACGATCAGTGGGAATGTTCTCACGAGCTTTGTTCAGGACACGACGGGCATTCTCATATGTCTCTAACCGAGCCAGTGCCAGCCACAGCTAAAGAAGACAGACAGAAATCGTTAGACATAGAGGTTGGTGCAAGGGTTCGTTTTGTAGCATTGCAGTGTGTGGCATCCTGTTAATACTTTATGTTTCATGTTGGTAGAAAAAAAAACTGAAATGACTGCAAGAGTTGCGTACCTCCACACTGGTAGGACAACACTCCACAGCTCGGCTAAGCATGATTCTGGCATCCTCTGGCTCCTCCAGCTCAACAGCTGTCTTCCACAGTCGAACTGACTTGGACACATTCTCCAGGGCTACATGGGTAACAATTACACAACTGTTAAGGCACTTCATTGAAGCTTTTATTATGAGTAACTGACAGTATGTGAGCAGGTCTGTGTGTTGCTCAAAGCAATAAACTAACTCACAAATATTTAAATCCTTGAATCCTGTTGTAACAGACAGTTTAATACTGACAATACACTGACCTATATTTACACTGGTGGGAATGAACACACAACAGGCTTCACTGAACACACAAGCAGTGAATACAACACAAGAAAAACAAATACTAAGCAGCATAATCTGCAATAGCAGTATAGTTCAATAGAGTCTGGGTGGGAAGGGAGAGTATTGTGTGTAATGGAGATAAGCACAGCAGAGGCAACTGAACATGTAGAGGCGGAGAGACCTCTTCCACAGAGGAAGCTTCCCATTCATCTCTGTCACTGGGGTATGCTGCTGGGAAATATGACTGTGTGTGTATGTGCATGTGTATTAGGGCATTGACACCATGGTTCAAATAGGGTGCCTGGCCTTGATGAAAAGCCAGAACCACAGCTGCCAAATGTAACTGTTATGAAATCTTTTATGCAATATTACATGTGCAGGGAGTGAGTAGTTTTGTGTGGGTGCTTTTAATAACACAAAGGACAGATTGAGACTGGTTGTGAATTTTTGTCCTCCAGAAATTTGTGTCTTCCAGGAAAATCTAGTATTCATTCATGCAGGCAGTGCCGGGAAATAACAATATTACAGCAACACGTCTCTTCAAAACTTTCCCTTATAACCTTCTCACAATCTGACTATGGATACAAAGAGGAGAACCAGTTAAAAGCATTACTTAAGTCTTTCTTAAATCTGTCTTTACAGGTGATAGTGCATGACAGCCTTACCCTTCCTGAGGACTCGTTTCTTGGCCCTGACGTCTGTCTCCAGCTCTGCAGCTCTGATGTAGATGCGGACGGACTGTGGCAGGTGGCGGACAGCCTGGGCTACCACGGCTTTAGCTGTGTCACCAGGCTGAAGTCGGGCTGCCTCCAGCCACACATCCTCACTCTGGTGGGCAGAGTAAAACACTTATAGCAATAGGAGGGCGAGGAGCATTTTCCTTGATCTAGTTAAGCAGCATTATTGTGTCATCAAATTAAGTAGCTGGAAGTGTGAACTGAAAAACCTGCTGTTTCATACAATCAGCAATGCTATTATTGTTGATAATGCTATATGCAGTATCCATTTTTACATTAGATATCATAGGTTTAACAAACCAACGAATCAACTTCACTACAGCCTATAGTCTGGATGAGCTAATGATAGACATCTACTTGCGCATGCGCAGACCTTAACCGATTTACTGTACTATCCATGATCCTTTACCTTAGGACACATCTCGGTGCCTTTCATGATCAGGTTCCTTGCCACCTGCAGTTTACCAGTCACTTCCTCCAGCCTGGCAGAGGCAATCCAGGCAGGCGGGTGATGGGGATTGGTCTCCCTCACTGATTTCAGCAAAAGGCGAGCCTTCTTGATGTCACTGGACATGAGGAGCCAAAAATAAACCATCAGACAAACACAAAACAACTTATTCTTCAAACATGTCATCTAGGACCTTCTGGTGTCCCCATGGTATCTCTACCTGATGTCCCCTCCATGTGTGGGGATCATTGAGTTGAGATCTGTCAGGTAACCCTTAGGATCCACCACTGTCTGTCCACTCACCGAGTCAGACACCTGAAGACAGATAAAATGCAGACATGCAGAATAAATAAATCAGAATCACAACAGCAAAGAATTAATCGTAAAACAAGGTAAAAGTGAAAGGGACTGAGGATGATGCATCAGTTACCTGACTAAGCCTCATGTCCATGAGTGTGTTCCTGGCCTGACCAATTTTCCTCATGTCCAGCTCTCCTGTCCCTGGTGTCATCAGACCAGGGGTCATACTTCCTGGATAAGGGGTGTTCAGACCTCCCAGCTAGGGAAGAGAAGAAATAATTATAAAGGAGAAGAGCATTTTAATCTCTGTGAGAATTTTGTCATGACATGTTGAAAAGGCTCATCATATGACACTTTTCCCACCACTGTAAATGATATATGTGAAAGTCTGAGCAATCGCTTTCCTATTCCACAGACCCACATATACAGAGTAGAATATTCATAGTGATAAGTTAAAATTTGAAAATGAAATAAATACACAGCAAAAACTGCATGCAGTCATTTTAAGTGTCTAAAGAGGTCATGTGATCAATAAGCAAAAATATTTGTCTGTTTCCTGTAACAACGTAGATGTCCACTGAGATTCCATGAAAAAAGGAGCATTTTCAAACTGCATTAAGCTGTACAGCTTAAGTGTTTTGTTTGTTTGCAGCAAGATATTGTGACTCCTGCTGGTGCAGGCTGAAACTACATCATATAATTCTTTGATGTGTGTGTTTTATGTGGATATCCACAGGAAAGGTATTTGTTTTTGCATGCGTACTGACCCCTTGCAGAGGGTCAACAGTGGTGTGGTTCTCTCCGGTCTGCAGATGTTTGGAGAAGAAGCTGTCTGGGACAGGGGTGAGTTTTTCATAGCGAGGATTCCTCTGGCGTTTGTTCCTTGCATCTCCCACCTCAGGGATGCTCAGCCACTCTTCTTCTGACACCTCTGCCAACTTCCTCTGTGACAAGATAGTAAAAAGGGAGAATAAAGAAATCACTTTGGACTGTCAGGAATGTGATTTCAAACATATAGTAAAGTATTGCAGTTAGAGGAAAACCTCTACAGTCCAGTTATGATCATTTACACAGTTATGATATAACTTCAAATTACAAATCCGCTGTGGGTAAAAAAAAAAAAAAAAGATTTTACGCTCCACCCGCTTCACCTTAAGCAACAGTAATGACTCCAGCTGGATAATCTCGACAAGTCATGGTGGTTAAGCTTAAAGCTGCTGTTTTCTTACTCTTAAACAGTATAACATGGAAAAATATAGTTTACACCTGACGGGGACCAAGTATTTAGCCCCTAAAATATTTAGAGTCAGATGGAAGAAGATTGGGTGATTTTGGGTGGAAAAGTAGGGCAAAAGTTTGGCAAACCATGTGCAATTTTGTACCTTTAGATCTGAAAACTGCTGCTGGATTTTGGGTCGCTCCATACGATATTTCTCTATTTCCTCCTTTTCTCTCAGCTCCCTGAAAATACACAAGACAACTTCAAAAATTACACTCACATGCACTATCAATAGCACAGGATGTACAACATATATACAATGAGTAAAGTGTGGGAGGGTTATGATATTATGCTAAAACTCAGCAGAGAAAATAGACCATTTTTATTGTGACCTTCTTTCTTTGCGTCTTTCATCCATCCTTTTATCCAAGGCTGCATATATAGCATCCGCTTCTTCATCGTCTTTCTCATAGGGCCCACTGGAGAACAAGCTACCAGCATATCCATTAAACTACAAGACAAAAGGTAATATAATGTGATATGCAAGACAGAAGACGTCATGTAATCCTTAGTATACTCAGATTAATGGTATAGTCAATTTATAAGTTTCCATTCATGATATATGCAACAGATTATTATCAATTACCAGCCAGAGACAATCCAGTCATAAATACCTCATCATAATTGGTGTCGTTCAGATCTTCATCATCATCGTCCTGGTTCTTTTTCATTTGGTCCCCAACTGTCCTCTTCCCTGGGGGTGCATGTCGGTCATCCACTGGATCATTGGCATCCCGAGCAGGGCCAATATCAGATCGGGTGGTGAAACCAGTTGCACTGAAGAGGACCAGTTATTTCAGATGTTACCCAAATAAACACTGGGCATATGACCCATGATGAGCATATGCACAGGGGAAGTTCAATTAACAATTTAACAACCTTATCTAAACTTTAGAGCAATGTTTTGATCATTTTATCGCTTTGTAGAATTAGATCATGCAGGCTTGTCAGATTCTTGTAGTGGATCTACCAGTAAATTAACTGTATTAAATGTTAGGATATTATTTGTATGGCAGATGAAACACATAACTTATCATCTAACTATAACACTATCACCATTTTTAGATGGCCTTATCTGACATTTTGAAGAGGAGGTCATCAAATCAGTACAGCCATACTTAACAACGTGCTAATATCTTTGTTCATGTAACTAGCTACTGTTATGTAGTAATAATGAGTAATTGATGTTACGATGTCATTTCCCTTCTGTCCAGTTGCAAACATGAGTGTGTTATAACGCAGGATAGGTTTGCTAAAAAGCTTACTTCATCAAACAAACAAAACTTAGCTTGTTAGCTAGAGAGCTGTTAGCAAGCTAGCTCACCCTCTGCCGAGACCGGGAACGTAGCCCAGCGGAGCGGGCATCCCCAGGAACGGCTTCTTCTTTTTTCCCATGAGCGGAGAGGCGAGGGGCATTATCGGGGGCCCACCGGTAACCCCCGCCGCCCCGGTGCCTCCCGCAGATGCTTTAGAGGTAATTTTAGGCGCTTGTTTAGCACTAGCGCTTGCCATCGTTGCAGCAACGACGAGGACGCTCAAAGCCGGATCAACAACATTCGCACTTCCGTTCCACCAAACAGCGGCGCCGTCCTTCTAGAAATATCCGTTGGTGTTTGTGACAGCGCCCCCACAGGACAGATGAGTTACTGTCTATTTTCTTTTCTCTCATGTTGTCTTTTCAGTTCGAAGTTGTTGCTGTGAATCCTATAACATGATCATTTTTCCTCTCGCTGTATGACTGTGTGATTGAAAGTGTTTCTTAAGAATGTTTATTACATTTCATGCTGATTTCAGTGGTTCACAGAAGCCACAGGAGGGCGCCACATCCTGACAAATATCAGGCCTATTGAAATATTGTGTTTAATCAAATTTAAAGTAGGATTTATAGATTGGTCTTCCTAATGGGACTCAGCATTTTTCCATTGAGTTAATGTCATTGTCCACATTTGTAAGTAACATCATACAATGTTTGTGTAAAATACTCACAGAAAGAACTTCTCCCTGAATTTCTCTTTTTTTCTTTATTTCCCCCCTTTTCTTTCTTTTTTGTGTGGTATTTGTACTTTACTGTAATATTCACATAATTCCTTTTCTTAAGGGCATAAGTAAACAGCATAATATGCTATTTGTCCTTTTTATGAAGCAATTTCTTCCCTTGACTGAGTATCATAAATGGACTTGTGACCCCAGTCATGGCATATACACAGCTGACATTTGTTTAAAGAAACAACTATGCCCTGAAGGTTGCATATTGCCCAACTTCAATGAACCTTCCCATTTTTCATTTTCTCTTGGGCTTTACAATGGCTGCATTTGAAATGATTAGTATGTGCTCCATAGTAAAACCATTTTATTGGATCTTAACTGAAGCACACTTTACCCTGTGCAACAGCAGTTAATAAAATAATGAAACTGACTGCAGGCCATTTTCTTAGAAAGGATATTTACCTGCATAGAGTCAATTGAGCTATACACAGTGATTTCAGTGTAGTTCTGACAGACATGTGTTAGTGTGTTACAGCAATAATTTGACTAACAAATGTTAGAGACTGAGAGTCTGTATTCAAACATGAGACTGGAGACTGCAATAAAAGTAATTACATTCTAACATGACATTTCTGGGTTTCATCCCGTGAGATGAAGTGAGACCATATATCAATTAGCTTCAATCACGTTTAACTTCACCCATCCATAGTCTGAGCCTTGGCGCAGCCCTTTACATTTTTCTTCATTTACATCGCCTGCAGGGCAGACATTATTTCACTCCTGGGAGAAGATGTTATGATGAAAATGGACTGTCAGGCACATTAGAGGATATATAGCTCACATAGCCGAGGACCAATTTAAACATGAAGTGCAACTCAAACCTTGATTTCATTCAGTTATTGCATTGCATTGCTTCTTTTACTTTCCTATGATTATGTCAATGATCATTTCATTTTAGTTCAGTGATTTTTATGATCACATATAATATGCAGCTTGAATTCACACTATGTTTTTTGCAATAAGGGAAAGGCAGTCAGAACAGATTACATGTCTGCATGATCATCACAGTACTGACTACTAGATGAGTGATTCAGGTCAGTCTCTTTAGTGATAAATAAATCATTAATTATACTGGCCAATATTAACAATGAGAAAGTCCTTCAAAGCCTGGTCCAAGCACGCACGTAGTCAGTCTGATTTGCACAAGAATGGATGCATTTACCTCTGCTGTGACTATAACAACAATGTTACATCCAAATGGCTAAAATTGGAAGTTCCACATAAGGTGACAACCTGAATTTGTATAACAAAAGTGTGGTTCCATAATCATAAACACAGTCAGAAGGAATCCACCAACCTCCACCACACACATACAGGCAGGAGTGCATTAAAATCTGAAATTGTGGTGGCAGTGGCAGCAGAAGATAGCTGATATCTGCTTGGGGGTTGTGAAGGCAGACTTAGTAACTGTGGTCTCGCCTAAGCTTGTACTATAATCATTCCCTTTGATGTGCTGCCATAAAACATTTGGCAATGCTTCCTGTAAATGCAGCTGTGAGCTTGAAACAGTGTCTAGAATGAAGAAACTAGTTTATCTGCATTTGTTATAGACAATTTGGCATCATGATAGAGAGGACTAAAAGGAACTGCTGTCATTGTTGACATTGATACTGAGTTATTTATAGAATGTTTTACATTTGATTTTGCACTGAAATAATTAGTGTGATTTGTCTATGTGAGCAAAGCTGAAAGACAATAATTAAGTAGCTCATTCTATTTTTCAACAAAGACTAATCACTTCATTTGGATAGAATTGCATTTTGGATGAGGGAGGTTCACAAAATAATATCCCTCATTTTGTGAATAATACTTTAATTTGAAATATGGTGATAAAGTGATATGAGAAAATGTATGATTGGTGAATTGAACTGTGTTATAAACAAGCCAAATTTTACTGTGTGCCTGTGTCTATTTCTGTGCAAGCGTACAGTAATCTGCATGTTTCTGCATGTTTATCTATTCATGTGTGTGCTAGTTTGCATGGGTGCATGAGTCCATTTAATCTGTTTATTCAGTGCATATTACATAGGATGGAGGGGAGCACAACTGTCCTAACAGATGTCCACAATGTGATAATAAATGTACAGAATGTAGCTGGAGCTGCATGGATGCAGCAGAAGAAGTCTGTAGGAGGATACCAAGAACTAAAAGGTCAAATATCCCAGCAAATAACATCATATCCCATTAATGGTCCTCTGATTTAGAGTAAGCTGTAGTTTGCAAGAAAGAAGCACAGGGGGGTGATATGTCAAGATAACAGGTTTATTGATATACTTTCATGCATCACCTAAAAACACACACCTAGACACACAAAGAAACACAGACACATCATTCACACTGCCTGAGCTGCATTGTGAGTTAATTTTAGCTCATTACTTTCAACAATACAATGTGGGCGAAGAAGAAGAAAGAAAAAAAACGCAAAATAGGACACGGACATCATCATTTTTCACTATTACACACACATGCTAAACTCAATTACTGTCTCTTAGCTGAAAGCAGTCTATGTGCACAAAGCCTGACTTCATACGTATAAGAGAGTCCTGCAAGGACTAATGATTTATTTAGCAATAATTACTAATTGTGTATCATTCTGAAACAAAGCAAAGTGTCCTTGTGAAAGGACAAAAGTAAATTGCTATTAGGGCCTTCCTTTAGGAGTGGCTAACCAGAGTCGTTTTGGGCAACAGATGCTCGAATGGAATTTCATTGATCCACTGAGCTTAGTGTGACAACAAAGCTTTGAATAAGGACAGTCTGGTAATTAGTCTAGGGCAGGATCTGAGAAATTGTACAAAGGAGAAAAAGATGGTGGATTTTGTGTTGTGAATACTAATGCACTAACAAATGTGACATATGTGCATTGTGGGTCAATCACATTGGAAATGCTTCATTAGCCTAATTGCCATGTAAAGAAAAAGAACCCTTCCACTCCTTAAGCAGCACTAAGGTCACCTTGAGTCTGTGGGTGAGGACTTGTATGGTAGAGACTTTCAGAAGCACATGCAATAACACCACACTCAGAGCGATGAGGAACGGTTGATGTATTCTCCAGCTATAGCATGTGCTTTATGTTTCACTTGATGGCACACCATCCCCCCGCTGCCATGTTACATTTCTCCTTGTAAGGATTCACTCAGTGTGGGAGAAGAAAGGAGAGCAAGTGAATGATATTTTTCACATTAAAAGTCTGACAGCTAACATGATCCAGTGTGGAGTTGATTTGTTTCCAAGACAGCTGAGCAGACAAATGAGATTATTGACTGAAGCTGTTATCCTGACCTGTTGTTTGAATGAGACTGGTATTTGGCTGCCTTACTTTGACACAATGGATGACACTGTGACTGCACTCAGTTTTCTCTGACCCTGTCTTTAGTGAGAGGAGAGGAGAGGAGAGGAGAGGAGGGGAGAGGAGAGGAGAGTGCTAAACTCCCTAAGTTTTGACAGGTATGGATGGCAACACACAGATACATGGAGTGGAAGAGACAGGACAAGAGAGAAGTGATGAGTGGGTTTCAAATAGAAGTAGGGAGGAAGTGACGAGAGAGAGAGAGAGAGAGAGAGAGAGAGAGAGAGAGAGAGAGAGAGAGAGAGAGACTGAGCATCCTGCTTCACTCAGATGTATGAAGCTTGGACTCTTTCCAATCAGAATCATCCCAGAGGACCCAACACAAAGAGGTCTTTGTATATATAAAGATGACATGAATATCACTGTCCTCTTTATCTGCCATTTTATGTCAGAAAATCTGTCTTAACTCATTCAGGGCACAATGTATTTTTTGATAATTGTTCAAATTTTCAGTTCTCTGAATTATGAAGATAATAAACAGATTGTGAGGAAGATGAATCAAACAAAATAATGTTTCAGTATATTAAACTATATTTTCTACAAATTTACTAACTTTTTAAGTGTATATTTCATGCTGGTAGAGGCAGAGAAACTAGTTGTGCTACATAAATGGAAAGTACTTATGTTGTGTATTTTGTTTATAAAGTTGTACCTACAAGATATGTTGAAATTTATTGAAATGATATGATGTAACGAAATGATTAATTAGCTATACTGCTTATCATTTGAGGGCCACAGGGGGCTGGAGCCAATTGCAGGTGACATTATGCGAGAGGCAGGATACATCCTGGGCAGGTTGCCATATCACAGGGCTGACATAGTCAACAACAGTCATTGATGCTCACTTTCTCACCTACAGGTGTCAACTGAGGTTCCAACCCAGAGCCCCTCAGGGGTTTCTGTTTTCATTGGATGTGGTTTTTAGTATTTATTTTTATGTTGGGCCTGTGTCTACTCTAAGCAACGCAGTAAGATACTGATGAATACAAAAAGTAGTACCTACTTTGCAACTGTGACCATGTTTTTTCTCAGTCAGAAGTTTTCACTCTTTGGCTTCAAAGTCTGAAATGTTCATCCAGCCCAGCTTACAACTACAGGACATCCAAACTGTTAAAGATAGAGATGGGTTAAAATTAAAGTAAGGTAAAGGAATAACCAACATAAATGATCGTAGTGAGAGGAGGATCCTCAGTGCTCCTTGTCATAGATTCTAAAAGTCTCGTGTACACTACTGGAGGATGTATTCCCTAATTTGGTGATGGTGATGGAGAGTGATAGTCCCAAAACTCCCACAGCTGTTCAACAGATGACTTCAAAGGCCATAGCCTGTGATTCACTGATCATTTTCATATTCATCAAACCATCCTCAAAGAGATCACACTCATCAAGGCAGAAATGTTTCATCACAAGATAAAGGTGATCATTCACAATACATTTGTATTGATTTGCAGGGACTCTTTTCTCTGAAGAGGCAAGTTGATCGTGCCGGGAAACTCTTATGACAAGGAGGCTGTGAAACATATTAAGGACTCTCTCACTCTCTTACTCCGTGACAAACATGCCCACATACACATAGCAGCAGCATACAGATGGATTGCAAACCAAATAGATAAATAGATTTGCTTTCTGTCATAAGCTACTTTTGGGGACAAATGTCAAACTAAATACCACTTAATTGGGAAAAGATGATTTTTGGGTCAACGGTTAAGCATTGGAAATGAATTTTTATATTATGACCTCTCGGCCAAATAGTAGGCATAGGCACACAGCCTTGATTGTTTAAACCCTTTATATTCCCATTACATTGCATATCAGTGTGTTTCTTGGTCCAGTTTACCATCGATGTTATACTGGACCTCAATTATCTGTCCACCTTCGGGGCTCCGGGGTATACTCAAGCAGCCCAGAACTATTAATTATCATCCTTTGGAGTGGTTAAGGTTGAGGTTAAGGTTAAGGTTCAGGTTAAGGTTTACTGTTAGGTCTTCAGGAAATGAATGCAAGTCTATGTAACAAAAGTGACAAATATAAGGTGTGTGTGTGTGTGCATTTGCGTATGTGTATGTGTGTGTGAGAGGTAGATAGAGAGAAAGAGAAAGACAGGTTTTGTGTTTGCACAGGTTAGCCTCAGACACTGTCTCTTACTGTGTGGTCATTTGCATAAGAGTGAGGTCACTGTCAGAGAGTGAGTGGAATGAGAATCACTCCCCATCCCTCCCCTTCACATACATATATACACATACACACCACACATACAGGAGTACAAACACATCACACACAGACACACACAGACACACTGACACACACAGACACACACAGACACACACACACACGCACACACACACACACACACACCCAGGATGCTGCGCAAGAGGCAAGAGGTGATGATCAGGGAGTGGCAAAGAGAATATATCTCTCAAATAGGTTCTGTCATCTTTTGCTCCACATGCTGAATACATCCAGAGAGGGGACACAGCTTTCAAAGGAAGGCTTTCTACAATATGCACTTAGAATTACAAAAAAACTCCCCCAGGTCTCTGATTAGGAAAACAGCTCAGGGCCAGAACTTAACACTATAAAGTGGATTCCTCTCTATCATCTGCACTCATCTCAGTGGAGTAAATAGCTTCCTGTGGGAATTCATTAGATTGCTTTCACTTTCACCTGAAAGAGCCCTCCTTTTCAGATCAGATTAAGTACAGGCAGAGGAGAACTCTTATGTTCTATTGAAAACCAACCTCTTTGAATCTTTTCTGTTTCTGAGAATTTAGATGCACCAAGGGTTGGTCCGGTCTTCTCTTTTTCTGTTCTATTTGGCACCATTATTTTTCTTTGCCAACCCAGGGACAGCCATTCAACATGACACCGGCTTTGGCGAAGCTTGATGACACACTCCGGAATCAATAGCTTCTCTATGTCTCTTGAGAAAGTGCTCTCTCTCTCTTTCTCTCTTTGAAGAGAGCTCCACCACAAGCTCAAGATGTGCCTTCATGGTATCGGTCACAATCTAGCTGTGTGCAGTAACAAACACATACTTTTTTTTTTTTTGTTACAGATGTTTTCTAAAATGTCTGTTTGTATCTATACTGTGCATGTGTGTTGCACTGTCACAGCAAAATGACAAGGGTCTCTTGGCATGAGCAGGACAGGCCATATGTGATGCTACAACACAGACGATTAAAGTTTAATAGCATCATCTGTTACTGATATGATGTAATGCATAGGCTGTATGGAGAGACAAACATTCTCTGATTCCCCATCTCCCCCGCCGGCACAACTGCTTATCACCCAGAAAGGATGCTTTAACCCAACTCTCAGTGGAGACTCCTAACCACAGAGTAAGGAATGAATATATATACAGAGCAAAGATTTTCTATTCCCATGAGCTCCGATTCCCTCTCGTTCATCTCCACTGTGCCACAAAACACTGAACAAACATTTCTTTCCACAACAGTTGTCTCATGTTTTAGCTGCTGTGTTTCTGCCGCCTGACACCCTATGGGCCAGTATTCAGCACGTCTTACCCCTTGATCTCTGCAGGTTCCAGTCTATTCATTATTCACTACACACTGACCACCCTCTGAATTAAAGATAGTACATGCTTTGACTGCTTAGTTTTTTCACGGGGACACACATTAGCACACTTCTAAATTAAGCTCTGTCTCTGAGATTACGAGTGGGTGCGTGCAAATGAGTGCCTCTGCATGTGTGTGTGTGTGTGTGTGTGTGTGTGTGCCTAGAAGCATGGGAAAGACAATCAGTGTAACGTCATGTATAAATCTGTATGAGTGTGTATGTGTATGTGTGGGGGAGTGAGTAGTGCTTTTAGTTCCAGTCAGCATGTGTTCTGGTGAAGCCCTGATGGACCAGCTAGTCCTTTGTTCCTTGCTGTTCACACTTTGATGATCCAGTGCCTGGGCTTCGGGGAGGGCCCTCATCTTCCAACACAGACTGATGCGCTGTCTTGAAGTCTTTCAGGGACATATCTCTTCACTGTTCTACAAAAAAAAGAAAAAAAAAAAAGAAAAAAAGCACTGGCGCTGAGCAGGCTGCATGCATCTGAATGCCAGCAGAATCAATTAGCCGGTTATGTTGTGAGAATACATTGACAAAGATGCGTTCACAACCTGCTCCCAAATTCTCTGCTTTGAAGCGAAAGCTCGACTGTTTGACGGGCAAATAGTGGCTGACGTGGGTGTCTACTGGGGAACAGCTGTTTTTAGGCTTTTCTGCAAGCATCCAGTGGATCTCCTCCTCGTGTCTGTTCCTGGGTTTGTGTCTGTTTCTGTGTGTTTGCATAGATGGTAGCCCACACATGCTCTCAGCTTTTTCTAGTGTTTCAATGAAGCTCCTCATCTTAAAGGGGCAATCCACAGCTTTTACACAAAAAGGTCAGTATATTTATCTTGAGGAGCACTATTCAATATGTAAAAACAGATAAGATAATGTCTTCTGTAGCTCTGGAGGGAACTTTCTAGTCTGACTAACCGTGATGATGTCATCAGGGTTATCTCGTGTTGGGCTTGAGAGTTCAAACTACCGACATAAAGCGCGTGTTACAAACTGAGGGCGTCAAGTTTGACAAACAAGGCAATAAGGCTAGTTATAATTAAACACCATCTATTTAGGATCCAGTGATTTGAAGCTTGATAAAAGTCAGGGTATCTCAGCTTCTGCTGCTTCAGTTTTGACCCTTGTGCTTTACAAATTTTATTTGTATTTGTTCCCCATATTTAAGGAAGTGCAATACTACATTCCAGTATGTTACAGCCTGGATCTTAGCCCACTCTCATATTTTTTGCCTTTTATGACAAGACATAACAACATTTTAGCCTACTCACCACCTCCACTGTAGAGAATTGGGAAACTTTTGAGTCAAGCACAAGCCGCCTACAGCTTTCAAATAAATAAATAAATAACAGAAATCATTTTAAACATTTGCGTCTGAGCAAACAGAGAAAGCTGCGTAGCATAGTTGATCCATATTGTCAGCTTGCTGGCTAATTGTCCTGCTCTATTCATGAATGCATGCAGGTTTGTTTATGTTACCCTGAGATGGAGCGGACGCTCACTTCTGATTTAGCTTGTTTGCCTAGAGAGGAAGTATTGAATACAAGACAGTGGTTTGTGGCTGCAAGTCTGCAAATTGCAAAAAAAAGGACAATGTACACATAGTGCTGTTTTCATTGCTGCCATTACATAATAAAGGGAACCCTTATAGAGTCCCAGGAAACTACTTCCTCTGTTTACTTTCACTCAAAGACAAATGGTGTCTAGATTTCTGTCAGACTGAAGTTTGTTTTGTTTTTGGAAATCTGGGAGGCCTGTGCTCGTTATCAACATTGATCTTACGGTGGTATAATGGAGGTGGTAAGATTTTAGACAAAGACAAAAGTCAAAAATAGTCAAGACAAAAATAGAACAGTTACATGTGAAATGTAAATGTGGACGGAGGGAGCAGACACATTTACTGATATACTGACACTCATATGGAAGTTTCTTTGTATTCTTTGTATGGTTCTGTTGCATCACTGGCCATAGTTTTAACTCACAGTGACTGTAACATATTCACCAATACACTAAAATCAATCCGTGTTATGTAGAGTACAGTATATGGTAAGTGATGTTATGGTTGTGGAATTTTGTTAATTTAGGTGTCACTTCATCAAAGGAATCATATTGGGAGGTAAGATCAAAATTTCATACTTTTTTTAGATATTTTTTTAATTAAAAAGAAAAAAAAAAGATCCCAAGTGATGAGAGCCTCTATTGTAGCCTGTGGTTGCCATAATAATAAAATGGGGCGTGTGAGTGTGTGTGTTTGTGCATAAGAGAGAGAGCGAGAGAGAGAGTGAGAGAGAGAGAGAGAGAGAGAGAGAGAGAGAGTGTGTGAGTGAGAGTGAGACAGCAGCATCTAGTCTGTATCCAGTAACAGCTGGTGTAGGGGCGTAATGACCTTTTGTCTCCCGGCGGTCAGGTACGGAGAGTGGGGCGGGGATTCAAAAGGAGCCGCTTCATATCGGACTGGTCCCGGCGTCCCGGACAACAAATGGCCGTGAACCGACAGAGAGGGAGAGTGTGATCCAGGTTTCCTTTTCTCTCAGTGCGAGCGCAGTGTTAAGAGCTGCCTCCATGCTCACATAGTAGGTTAGAGAGGGCAAGAAGCGCTCTTTATTCCCACACTCAATACATTTCATCCGTCTGGCAGGAGAATGGGAGAGTCCTGTTGACACCACGGAGAGATACACGCTGAGACCGACTATGGCTGTGGACGGTAAGAGCGCTCACTATTCCTTTAAACTGAGGCTTTCCTAACAAGCCCCACAGTGTTCACTCAGACACTTCATGTTTAATTCATTCAGTTCACAGTGACAGTACACTACTTTGTGATTTTTAAAATCTCATTAGAAACATTTTCATACAGTATTTCTATATGGGCATGTGTCTGTTTTGAAACCTTGTGATTGCAATAGGGAGTTATGTGTTCATCAAAAGCGTTCATGCTGTAGGCTGCAGCTGTACATCTACTATATTTATAATTTCCTTGATTTTGGAACAACCTACACATTATCTTCTCCAAAATAAATCATCAAAGTAGTTTCTGACAGGGTTTCAAATGCTGTCAAAATGGAGTGTGAATGCTCCTCTTTTCTGTGAGGTTAACTTGAGTTTGACATAATCCACTCTGAAACTTATTCTCACAGCCTATGCATTACATGCTGTCAAGTAGAGCTGAAGTCTTTCATTGCAGTGTTTTGGGATATTTGAATATTCATTGCAGTCAAGTATTTCTTGCAATTCTTTAGAACTGTTCCCCATGCTCTGTTTGTACTTTATGGTCTATATTTGTGGGCCAGCACATGGCTCACCTGGACAGATAAGAGGCAGTATTCAGCTCAGGAATACAACAGTGAGGCAGCATTATTTGTTCTTCATTCTTAAAATGGTGTAAACAAATGTGCTCTTTTGTACAAAAATAAATATCATGTTGTTCTGATATTTATGAACAAAGGAGTGGACCCCAGGACTAGACCAGGGAGGGTTTTATTTGATTGTTTCTTTCTTACATAACCAAGAAAAAGTGAAACAAGCCTACATAAATACAAGTTTGCCATGAAAAAAGGAGTATCATTTTTGTAGTGTAGACTAGGAAAATATATTTTTCTCTTTTGTGTTTTTGGGTTAGGGCTGCAACTGACAATTATTTTCACTGTCAGAAAAAATCAGAATCAGTCAGAAAATGGTGAAAAATTCTGTCAAATTACGTCAAAAAGCCCAAGATAACATCAAATTGCTTATTTGGTCTGAGTCAGCAGTCCAAAAGCAAAAGATGTTCAGTTCATTATCAGATAAAACAGCAGGAAATGATCACATTTGAAATTTTGATTATCAACAGTCATTGCTGATTAATCTTCTATTGACTGATGATTAATTGAATAATGCTGAAATCCAAACTAGTGTCAGCGCTAGTTTGGATTTCATAGAAAACTCTGTGAATCAAACATCAACCTTGATCAAACATCTTTGTTAGACGAGGAAACATTGTATGAATCCTTGGCTTTAAACTTAATGTCTTTTTTTTAGGCTTCTTAAATGCCTTCCCCGCTTCCCCAGCTTCAGGGGATAAAACCGATTAGGCATTAATATACCGTGCATGAAAAGCTCTTCAGCGGTTTTGGATTGTTTGTACTGTTGGTGTCCTGCCCCTTCTCCCTCTCTTTCCTGTGCCCGGCTGGCTGGTGTTTGCTCCAGGCTAACTAACTTAAGTGAAGCCTAATCAGAACCTCTCTCTGCTCAAGGGCAATAATGTGTGTGAGAGCATCGGTGTAGGGCCAAGTGTGTCTCCCATCTGTCCTCAGTCTGCTGAAGCAGGTTAGCTCTTCATTAGCATGGCTGCAGCTAGGACACTCAGTCAGATATGCATATATGCCCAGTGACACATTGGTCTATCTATAATTAATCCATAGTTTACTTAAGCATCATTAATTTACACAGAGCCCTAGGGCGTTGACACCACCCTGACAGCGTGCTGTGCCACTTAAACTGTAATGACTGTTGGTCCAAAAAGACTATAGCACTGTTTGAAGACACACACAGGGTGTGATTTACAACCCGTGGCGATGACCAGGGATCCCTAACCTCTTTTATACTGCACAAAAAAACTAACATCTGCTAACATCTGGCTTATGTCGTCAAGATTTACTATCACTCTTATTTGAGAGGATTTTAAAAGGTTTCATGCTATTTGATACAAAACCGGATGACTGTTAATGGTTGGTAATAATTGAAAAAAGATCAAATCTGTAATGACAAATAGACACAATCAAACTACTCCGTCATTAACTGTGGCACATCCTGGATCCCAGTTTGTTAACCGTGACTGTTTTAGGTGGGGCATGTACAGGATAATAGCTGAGCTGATTGGTAATGTTTGCATTGATTTCCGTTTGTCAGGAGGTTGCAGTTTCATTGTTAGGTGGGCTGTCAGCTACAGGCCGTGACACTATCAATTCCAAAGGATGATCTGCATTTTAAATGGTATAATAGACATTTTTCGTCTCATCTTCATGTAAATTGCTGAGAGAATTACATTTTCCTCCTTGCTGCGTGCTGCACAAGCAACTCACGCCACATAATTATGTTGTCCTCCATGTTTGGCTATTCAAAGTGGGTGGAATTCATCAGATCTTTGCTTAAATCACCCAGGACATCTGGCTGTATTGTCATATCTGAGATAAGCAGCCATATGAATGATGCTACATGGGCCATTGTGTTGTCCAGCACACAACATCCAGGAGCAGGGATTTTTTTCAGAGGAGGACACAGAATGGTTTTTACAGGGAATGAGTTGAATGGTTAGAATGGTTTACCCACTATTTACATCAGGAACAATCATGGGAGGGGGTGGGGGGTCGCTACCAATCTGTGAGTGTGTGCTTGCATGTGTGTCCACTCCAAGAGGATGCCATGTTGGCCTCCAGCCATCCATATACTGCAAGACATATGCACACAAAAAGCAGAAAGGGAGCTGCTGTGCTCACCATCATCTTGACAGGCCCACATGGAGACGAGCACGCAGCTGGATCTCCATCCAAAAACAACCCATTTATTTATCTCAACCCCATGTTTCTCTGAGCATGTGGATAGACAGGGAGGGAGGGAGGGAGGGAGGGGTGATGGTGTCTATTTGCTGCCTTCATGATGGACATATGAGTAGGAAGGAGGCTAACAGATGTGGGGAAATGTGTACACAGCAGACGTCTCTCAGTAAAAGAAGATTTAATAGGAATTGCTTCCTTAAAGGACACTGAAATGATGTAGGCGTGAAAACACGGATGCCTCTACTGAGGAAAGTATTACTGGCATAAGAAGAGAATGCATGATGGATTTCTTGCTTCTAATCAAATAAGCAACCATCATTTTATTTTACAGCTGTCCATCTTGTCTCACTGAGCGATCTATCTTGTGTTGAACCAAGGAGCTGTTAACCCTTTCCTCAAAACCTCCACAGCACACAAACGCACCCACCCTCTCTTCTGATCAGGTCACACAGTCGTGTGCTCATTCAACTGTGAAATAATTGCCCCTTTCCTGCTCTAGCATGAATTTCCAAGCCGTGTATGTGTTTGTGTGTGTGTGTGTGTGTGTGTGTGTGTGTGTGTGTGTGTGTGTGTGTGTGTGTGTGTGTGTGTGTCTGTGAGTGTGTGTGTGTGTGTGTGTGAGGTGTGTGCATGTGTTTTACTCCATGTGTGTGTTTATGTTTGTGTGTGTGAACATGCAGATGAAGCAGAAGGGGAGCCAGCACCTCAGTGGGTGGGATGATGGGGGAGTGTTAGCTCTACACAGACAGATACACCCTTTGTTGTTTTTCTGGCGTCGCCTGCTGGAGACACCGTCCATTTGGCGCATTTGGTGTTGGAGCCAAATGTGTTTCTGGCCTCTGCAGTAAAGTAATATGGTAATAGTGTGTTAACCCTCTCAGTTACAGTGGCATGGTGGGGGTTGTACAGCAATGTGTGTGTATGTGTATGTGTGTGTTTATGTGTGTGCTAGAGAGCATGCAAGCTGTTAACCTCTTTCCCCTGTCCATCATCATCCCCTGCTTCCTCACAGCAGGGAGTCTGTCACTCAGTATAATGCATGGAGAATCCTCTTGAACACACACACACACACACACACACACACACACACACACACTCCTGTCATCCATTATCAACTCTCTGATCCACCGCAGCTCTGCCGCTGCACCTGGCCTGAGCCTGAGGATTGTAGACTCGCAGAGAGAGGAATAAAAACAAAGTGGACAGAGGGAGAGGGGAGACAGAGAGGGATGTGTTTGTGTAATCCAGCACAGTGTCTGAAAGTCTTACAACTTGGGTCTTATTTTCAGAGTGTTGGCTATTATTTCTACTGGTTGTGATAAGGTTGTGATAATCTAGTGCTATAAGAAATACAAGTTTGTTAGCCAGGTTATCTAAAACACTTTACTTGGAGGAAAGACCACAAGCGAGCGCACCTGAAATGTTGGTAACAATCCCTCATTCGACTGGAAAACTTTATTGAATTTGAAAGTTGGAACAAGGAACAAGGTTATGGAGAGATGGACAAAAGTTTGGAAACGAGATCCAAGTTGCATTAAACAGAAATGATCCTTAAAGGACCCTGAGTTACAGTGTAATACTATATCTCTGGGTGAGGGCACTTAGACTATTGCTCTCTATAACAGTAATGCAATAATCAATTTTACTCAAACTCAGACATCCATTAGGGAGCTGCTGTTGATGGGGGAGAATATTTTCAATGAGTTATCGATCTAATGGATTTGTCAAGTGGTCCTCTCAGACCAACCGCCAACTGCTTTGACCTCTGACCCGTTGTGTTGCACTGACATGGACAGAGGATGATTCAGTAGATAAACATTTACACTCTGGTCCTACAGCAACTTTCAGAGACTGATGAAATGGTAAAAAAGAGGTGAAGCCAACTTCGGTGTAAATCAGCAGTGGATTAAAAGGAGCAGAGTGTGGTGGACTTTGGATTCTGTTCTGCGGCGTCACACTTCAACTGTCTCATCCAGTCTTGCCCTCACTGCTAACCTTGCCATGCTGTTAATACTTCCAGAAATGACAAGGCCTGATCCAGTTCTGATCCAGTGCCCTTGTCCCGGGGTCCGACTTCTCCCCTTCCTGCCTCTTTCCTTTCCTCTTCCCTCTCCCTGAATTAGAGTGCGCATAGGCCCATATCCAATTTCTCTTCTTTAATTAGCCCTCTGCA